GTTAGATTGTTTCTGGGCCCACTCCTGACTTCTCCTACGACTTCATAAAGACTCTGAGTCTTTCTTGTTACTTGGATTTTTCTTGTCTACCTTTTACTCCCCGTAGAGGTATTGAAACCTTTAAAGCCTTTGGGCAGGGGGAAGGGGAAAGGATCCAGTTTTATTTAAGACTCTTGAGACTCATCAATATTCTCTGTTCCCTTGAGTGAGAAATGAAAGGCAAGGCTTACATCAGCCTGGTCTCCTCACTTAGGAATCACTATATTCCAAGGTCAGAAGCAGTGCGAAGGAACTCTCTGAACCCATTTTGGAGGGCAGTATGTCAGAAATACAGTGGAAATTGCTCTTTAACTGGACGCGAGTCTCATTTTAAGCGCCACTGTTTATATTCTTCATGTCCTGCCTTTGTTTTTATGTTGAGTATGTTTCACCTTGTAAAGATTAAGAAGAGCATGTTCTAGCTTTTTAATGTGAGGATTGAATTATTAATAGTGTTTGTGTATAAAAAATGATCTCCCATTTCTTCTACATAAAGCAGTACATTCTTACAGACTTTGGGCCTCACTGAAAATGAGGTGTCATTTAAAGTTTTTCACTAATTCAGCATTTAAAGCGTTTTATTTCCTCCTTGATTTATTTCACAGCCACTTCTTGAGTAGAGAAAGTACAAGAACTACATACTGTCTAATTAGATTACATTCTTTATGTGTCTCTAGCATTTAGTGGAGGGTGCTAATCAAATCTTGGTATATTTTCTATTCGTTTTTTAAAATTTATTTCATAAGTCAAGATGGCTATAATTAAGGTGCATTGCCCTTACCACATTTATTGTAATGATCTTTTCATGTCTTTTTGTTTCATACTGTGTGGTACATTCATTAAGGGTAGCATTGTGCCATCTGACATCAGACCTTATGCATTTCCAGTGTGTTTATGATGTTGGCTATAGTTACCTTCAACTACTAAGACTTGTACATAAACCAGTGATACTCCATCATGCTAACAGAGTCATCATACTAATTCACTCTTGTTTGGTTTCACATTCTTGTTTAACCTCCCAAATGTGACTTACCTTTTGAAGAAATTGCTTCGTAATATTTTAAAGAAATGCAGTATAGGTGACTGAGTCTAAGATAAAAGAGATACCTTGTTGCTTAGGTGATATTCTTGACATTGCTGATACATTTCACCTCTCCTCCCTATCCCCTCTCTGTTTCTCTCTCTTTCTCTGTCTCTCTCTGGCTAGCTTTTCTTCTCTTCTCCTTTGTTTTTACTTCCTCTTTCCTATCTTCTTGAAGGCCTCTCTAATATTAACATATTTAGTAATTTGCCCACTATTGATTACCTACTTTTTGATTACCTGTTTTTCAAAGTACTTCTATTCTGAAGTTATTTCCTATGGACAAACTCCCATGCAAAACAAATTAATAAATGGCTCACCTTGTGGTGGTTAATGGAAGATATGTGGTAATAAGTAGCCTCTCTTTCAAGTGAAAGAAAAATTTTGTGCAAAATTAATTTAAATTATATATATAAGATTATTAAGACTTTGGGGACAGTTTTTTATTTATTTAGTTGTTTGAGTTTCAGTGGCAGAAATGTATTCTTAGTGAGCATGATCGTTTTTGGCCTTATGATGGGAAATCAGATGAACTTAAGGAAAATTGACTAAGTATGGAAAAATTGCATAATAGGAAAAATTTTCAACTACAAAGATGTATAATAGTTGCCTTTCCTCCACCTATGTCTATACGACTAGAGATTATTCTTGTTTTTTTAAAATTGGAGTGGTTTTTTTTGTTTTTTTTAAAATGAGTATCTAAGGGTACAGAATGGGTTGGGGAATTTAAAAAGGCACATACTGCATAGCAAAATATAGTAAAAGAACAGAAATTACAGAATCATATTTAAAAAAACCCTAGTTGCTATGATAACAAATTTAAATGACCTTAAATAGCAGAATAAGCTACCTATTCTTTTCATACCTTGATATTGATTGCAGTCTCTATCAATCTTTTTTTAATAATGGATTTCTAAAATGATAATTTGCACATGTGTGAGTATATAAAATAAATATAAATATATGTATTCTGGTGTAAAAAATAAGGCAACATAAAAATGATGCATTCAAATATTTTTAACAACATGAAGTTTCACTTTCTTTCGAGACTAAAGACAGCATATATTTTCTCATTGCCTAAGTTTATATAAAAAGTCAAATAAAAATGTGGCAATCCACTAGCAGGAGCAAGAAAATGGGAGTATATATACATTTTATAATCAATTCAGAATGTGTTATATAGGTACTGGTGATTATAGGAGCTTTTAGACTATGAATTATAAGATGTTGCTATTTTTCTTTTAAAATTTAATGTCTGCAGAGCCAGTGGATCAGATATCCAAGATGGGTAATTACTGGCATTGTGCTTCAGGCTTTAGATCTAACAAGTAAAAATGAAAAGCATGTGGATGTGATTAAAGAACAAAGAAACAAAGAGATGGAGTACAACCAGTTCAGAAAATAATGAACAGTTGGTTTGCCCTAATTATAGCCATCTTGATTTTTCTTTTTTCTTCAGTATGTATCAATTAGAAGTTTGGTGGAAAATTAAATCTTTAGCCTAATTATAGAAATAAATTCATTGCAGACATCCTAAGGTGACTTTATGCTTTTCTTAAACTCAAATCTTAAAAGTCAGTTACAGTTTGTATTGGCCACAAGCCTGTCCTTTGATTTAGGATAACAGTTCACTTTTAATTTTTTAAGACTGAATATCTTATATCTACCATCATCTAAATGAGGATGTGTGTTGATCAAAATGAGAAAATTAGGTCAATATCAAACATTCAACTAATTAACAGAAGTTTTTCACTTGGAGAGATTGAGTTGTGCAATTGAAGTGCAGCTGAATCTCAGAAAATGATAGGACATTTATGTATAACTATAATGAATTTGCAGATTGTTTATTATTGCAGGTCAAGCACTAAAATAAAACCTAAGTTTTGACCCCCACTTTTTCATAAGTCTTTTCATAGATAATATAGGTTATGACAATAGGTGATTCTCTTTTTATAATAGAAATTAATTAACTAATATTCTAGAGTACTTTATTGCTTTCTCTTCATTACTACTTTTTCCATTTTTTGAGTGTCTTTATTCTATATTCATCTTATATAGGAAGTTGTGTGCTCTTTTATAAACTATTTAGAAAGTGACTTTATTGACAGAAGCATGCTACTTGATCTTTTGGGTAAGAAATGTGATTTTTTAATTGTTATTTGAAAATCATTAAGCACAGCTATATGAGTAATTATGAAGCAAAGAGCCACAGCTTTCAGTGACAAAGATCTATTGACACATAGGGTTTTATTTTTATGTCGCAAATTTGATGGCCTTTTTTTTTTTTTTTTTGAGTTGGAGTCTCACTCTGTCGCCCAGACTGGAGTGCAGTGGCCGCTCCTGGCCACCGCAACCTCGACCTGCTGGGCTTCGGCAATCCTTCCACCTCTGTCTTCCGAGTAGCCGGAATTACAGGCATACACTACCACACCCGGCTGATTTTTTGATTTATTGTAGAGATGAGGTCTTGCTGCCCAGGAGGGTCTCGAACCCGCAGGCTCAGGCAATTCACTCACCTCAGCCTCCCAAAGGCGCGGGATTACAGACTGAGCCACTGAGCCAGGCTATGGCCTTTGCTATGTTAATTTTTCTTTATATTTTTTATGAGTCCTAAAGCAGTTGTCTCCCTCACCCCCATCCCAATTCATACACACATTCCCCTCTCCCCCCTTCCTCCCCCCCACACAGTAGCTGAAACTTTAAAACAGGAACATATACCATATGTACCTATTGAGTTCTGGTCATTCTAAGTAAACAGGGATATAAAGAAACAAGGTCAGTTTAAAACTGTAAGTTCCTAAGTATTTTGTGTTTCCATTGCTTCTTTCCTGTCTAGCACTAGCAGTTTTAGACTGATTAACAAAATGCTGTAAGCTTGAGGAATGGCAGGAAAGGTTACAGGGGATTGATAATATTATTTTGAAGTATGAAGCATGTTTTTAATCATGTCAGAATCCCAGAATTAAACACAGAAATTAGAATAGAGGTGACACCTGTATTTTCATTCTAAACCATTTTTTTCATACTGCCAGAGCTATTTTCTACTAAAACAGAAATTTCATCAAAGCTTTTTTAGTCTTTTGAATCCATGTTTACTCTGCATTCATTATAGTAGGATCTCTTAAGGAGAGCACATTAGAATTGCCCAAAAGCTTCTAAGCCATGCACATATCTGGAACCCATCATCAGAAAATCTGAGTTTTAGGAAAGAGGCAAGTGTATTTGACAAAACCTTTCCTTGTTCATGGATTCAGATCCCTCTTTGTGTCATGTTCCAATAAAACTCTCTTGCCCTGTATGATGTCATTTCTTCCTGTCATCCTCTGTTCTGCTCTAGCCATGTCAAAGATACATATTATACAAATATTTAACTTTACTTCATTCCTATATACTTTTATGCATGCTGTTCCTTCTGCCTCAGATACCTTATACTCTCCTCCTCACCCTCCTTTTTCTCCACACCAGCTTGTCTATCTATCAAAAAATGACTTATCTTCCTAGATTTTCCTGTAAATCTTTTCTTGCTCCCCCAGGTAAAAATAGTCGCTCTATCTTTTGTTTTTAGCATTTACATTGATGGTTTTTTAAATGCTCATCTCTCTCATGAAACTGGGAGTTCAATGAAATCATGTAGTTTATCTTGTTCGTGTTTGTGTTAAATGAACACATGGATGAATAATAAAGTGAAAACTTAGGAATTCAAATGTAAAATACTTTTAGGAACATTGTTTTTAAAAACAGTATTAAGTTGAGGTTCATGACCAACCACTAAGGCTTACATTGATACACACGTTATTATTTGTCTTGCTATATATTCCCATCAAAACTTACATGATATAGGTATTTATTTATCCCTTCTTTTTTCTCTTTGTGCCTGCAGACGAAATCTCACAAAACTGTCCCTTATCTTCAGTCACATGCTGGCAGAAATCAAAGCAATCTTTCCCAATGGTCAGTTCCAAGGAGATAACTTTCGAATCACAAAAGCTGATGCTGCTGAATTCTGGAGAAAGTTTTTTGGAGACAAGTAAGTAAAAATCATTTTTATAGTTTGAATCATTTTTAGTGGGTTGCCGAGTCCTGCCTCCAATTGCATGTGATACAGATTTTACTTGAGTATTTTGAGAATGTATTTGAGTGTTTTTGATAAGTGTTTTGATTGGTAATTTTTCTGGTGTAGCCACCAGCCACCAAAAGTATGCCTCAAATGGAATAGTTTTTTATTATCACAAAGTAAGTATCAGATTTTTCGATGTTATTTTATGATCATTCATTGGACTAATTTGTTCTGAGAAGTGGAGATATGTAAAATAGAGTCTTTATACATGAGTAACTCATAACTTTTAACATAGTACATACCTAAGGCAAATATCCATATGAAAGCTAGAAGGGAATAGATACTTTATAGCATAAGTGGCTCTCATAATCAAGAGTAACAGTTGCTTCAGAATTGCACCAATCAGAGGCTGCTTCCTAGAGGAGGTGATACGTTAAGCTTGGTTAAGATCTGAAAATGAGGTGGGAAAAGGCCCTGGCACCTTGATCCAGCTTTCTTTGTTTTACTGGACAGATGTCATACATGTGTGAGCAAGATATGAGGATAATATCACAAAGCTGCAACATATTGCCAGGTAGCCAGATAAAGATGTCTTCCTAGGTATGTCCTACCCAGGCATGAATTCTGATGAGCTTGTTTAGTAATAGGAATTAAATGTCTAAAGTCAGCATAACATACATAAAACCTGCAAAAAATGTGTGAGAAATCTTTCTATAAGGTGATCAAGAACTGAGCATTAGAAGGCAAGTGATTTTCTCAAGAATCTTTTAAAGGTCCCTTTTAATGAGATTGCACCCTCAGAATGTCCGATTGTGGGCAAAGCCCTAGCTGAATACTAAGGAGGAAGAGTGATTAATAACAGATTGTTGTTTTAACCTTGTATTATATTTATCCCTTAACCAAAGAAATTAGATAAGAAAAAATGTTGGTGTACAGTTTTGATGGTTTCAGTGCTTTGATACTGGCAAACTACAATACTGGTTTTCCTTTTTTTTTTTCTTTAAAAAGCACTATGTTTGCTACTGGTACCATCATAATTAGAATATACTTACATAGCATAATGCACATTTTATTAAATACATAGTTTTGGGGCTTCAAAAATACTACAGCTTATCTCCTACTTCTTATGATGTATTCTGAATTATTCTTAGGCACTGAAGGAGAAAATACTGTCTTAGGCATACATGGACATTCGGTGTTCTAGAAATCTAGCTATTTGTGATGTTCCTATATCTACTCAGAAACGAGGAATTTTTTAAAAAGTTCATCCTCATCTGAATTAGAGTAAAAGCCAAGTATACCAGTTAAATATTTGTAAAGTATAGAAAGCAGAAACGTCCTGCCAAGTGCAGGGTGTAAGACCTGAGAGGGTTCCTGTAGTTGTAGCTCGTATGTTAACACTGTAAGCCTAGTGCAAACAGGTGGTAACCTTCAAAATAAACTTTCTTTTAAACTTTTTAGAAAATATATAGGACACATTGTGTCATTTCTTTTTGAAAATTTTGATGAGTTACAAGATTGTTTACTTGTCATAAGGTCAGTAAAAAAACGGAAAGATTGGTCACATGTCTTTTAAGAGGGGAGTTTGCTAGCACCTCAAGCCACAGAGAATTAAGCATTTGAGACATCTTTATTTCCCTTTATTTATAACCACAGACTTCAAGGGTCTGAAATTTCTGTTCAACTGTTTCATGCATGAAATCACTGCTACATCAAATGGAGGATTCTTGAAATACCAATTAAATACTTTCTCTACTTCCTTCTTCTTCTTTTTTTTTTTTTTTTTGAGTTGGAGTCTTACTGTTGCCCATGCTGGAGTGCAGTGGCATGCTCACAGTCCCCACAGCCTCGACCTGCTGGACTTGGGCGATCCTTCTGCCTCAGCCTTCCAAATAACTGGAACCACAGACATGTGCCACCACGCCTGGCTACTTTTTAAATTCAGTGTTTTAATGTAGAGACGAGGTCTTGCCAAGTTGCCCAGGCTGATCTTGAACCCCTGGGTTCAGGCAATCCTCTCTCCTCGTCCTCCCAAAATTCTGGGATTACAGGAATGAGCCACCATGCCTGGTCTTCTCTCTACCTTCCAAATCCTTTTATCTTTGTCTTCTGTTTTCACTGGCTTGAGAAAACGGCTTAATTTTGTCTTTAGCGTTGTTATTTTGTGGATGAGAACCAAATTTCAAGCTTCTTCTGGAACTTATACATATTACTATAGTCATCCAAATTAATGATTCCTTTATTAGATAATTGGAGAAACTGTCTTTATATTCTTCATGGGTTTTCAACTTGTAGTTCCACAATATTTTATTGAATGAATGAACACATAGGCATGAATGTTGTAACCTTTCAAAGGACTGCTGAATTCTTTAGTTTTTATTATGCTCTAGTATTAGTTTGTATTTTCCCAAAGCACATGCCTGTGGAAGCATGCCTGGCAATTATCTCATCACACATTGAGACCAAGTAAGAATGCTCACCTCTTGACTGAGGGTCCAAGCCTAGGGGCTAAGAGGCTCTGCCTCCCTTGAGGCCCAAGGGCAATAGTTACACAACCTGTATTATGGCAAACATATTAGAAAATCTGGTATTTGTTCAGTTTTTATGCAAATTAATATTTTAATAATTCAGTCCTGCTTCGGTTTTCATAGTTCGTTACCAGAAAAGAGTAGAAATATGTAGGAAAAGAAAAGTGACATTATTTGAATAAAAGTGCCTATGTATGTTCTACAAAATTGAACCAATACCAAAGGGAATCTTCACACTCTGAAATAGTATCTTATAATCTAGAAATTTTGAGCATGATCCTCAAAAAAATATATTACTGGCAGTTAAAAAAATGTACACTAATGTCTAGGACTCTGGGGAGCAGTTGTTAGGTAGCAGCTCCTGGGTTACTCGTGCTAAGTACTTCTTGACATTGAGGAAATTTAGCCATACATTTCCAAACAAATTATAATTCAACAAGAACCATGGATTCCAACTTTTGAGTCTTCTTATGGGTACTCTCCTCCCCATACTTAACTTTAGTTCAAATTCTCTTTTTCAAGTTCAGGCTCAAGTTTAGACTCTTCCCTGGTTTACTGCAACACCCCTCTGATTGGTCTTCCTATCTTCAGTAACAGCCTATCTAATTGTGCTTAGTGAGTTCAGTAAGCTCTCTAAAAAAAGCAGAGCTAATGATTCCTTTCTTTTGCTTGAAATCCTTCCATGAATATTGATTCCAGGTAAATGTCTAAATTCCATTAACATGACAAGTTTTAGGAACTGGTTTTTCTAGATTTATTTATTTATTCACTTATTCATTTATTCATTTTTGTGTGTATGTGTTTATTGCTCAGCTAATCTGCTGATCTACCGAACTAGTTAACATTCAACTCAATTTTTCTAATGTACTTCTTGTTTTCTGCCCCTCATTATCTTTGTTTCCCTATGTTGTGCCCACTGCTTGGGTAGCTAATCACATATGACCTATCCAGTACTGCCACTTTGGAAGTTCCTGGTCTACACTTATCTAAAGCGGATATCTTTACTCTGTGCTGCCTGGTACCTGGACCTACATCTATCATAATAGATTACAGTGAACTGCTGGCATGTCCCCATTTCCCAAGTGAGAGGTTTCCAGTAGACTAGAAAGCTTTGAAGGCAAAGACCGTATCTTACTATATTTGTTTTTGAGTCTGATATAATTCCTGGAACTTGTTTTTTGTTTTTTTTTTGTTTTTTTTTTTTTGAGTTGGAGTCTCACTCTGTTGTAGACACTAATAATTGTTAACAGACTGTATGAATAATTGGATGGATGAATGATATCTATCCTCTGCTCTCAGTTTATAATAACTTCATTGTCTGTAAATTGATTTCTTTTTAAATCCTCAATTCCTTCATCTGTTCCCTAGATATCTTTCTTCCCCATTTCTTTTCTTCAATCTCAGAATTTTGACATCTTTCTTCGAACTCAGTTTAGACATCTCTCTTTCTGGGGTTTTCTCACTCATATATACCTTCTCGCATGGTCAGTGTTAATTACTACATTTTTTGTGTCCCTGTTATATTTTAGACACATTTATATTATTGAATGTTTCTATATAGATCTTTCCTACTTGATTGTGAGGCTCATTAAAATGACTTTTTCAGTGAATTTTAAAATCTAAATACTAGTGAAAAACAGACTCATTTATTAGAGTTATCCGGTGTTATACTCTGTGTTCATTGCTTTTATAAATGCTACCTTCGTTTTCAATATAATCTTCAAACTGTTCTTTAAATGGCTACTGAGTGAATCTTTTGGGTACTGTATATATTACAGTTACTCAGGGGTTGTTGGTTGGATGTATTAGTACATGATGTAATATTTCTACTAATTAAGCTGTCTCTTCCTTGTGTTCTGTTCTTCAGTCAAGTTGGCTTATTTGATTCTTTTCTGACACATCAGCAATTTTAGGTTTCTTTGTCTTTGCTCATATTGCTTCTTCTACCTGAAGACTTTCATAATCTCTGGCATAAAAATTATTACCAGTTCCTCAAAGTTCATTTTGCTTGTGATTTTTCTTCTTGTTGTTCTTTCTAGATCTCTTCTGGAACTCCTCTGAGCTCTTGCTCATCATCTGCATTTCCTGTTTTTATTGTCTTATTAAAACTATGTGTCTGGTTATCATACTTCTCCTTAGACTATCTGCTCCATGAAATCAGGCTTATTTATTCACTTTTGTGTTTTTGAAGTAACTCAGTGTCTCATAGATAGGGTTTCAGGAACCAGTGTACAGTTAATTCAGATGAGTTATGAAGCAGAATGGTGTGTATGAGCATGTATGTGCATGAAGTAGAAAGATGACAAGACAGGACCGAGCCTGCTTGCTTATTTGATTGGAGACCACATGCTTTGGGTAGCCATGCAGGGCTAGAGCCAGATTGTCTATACAGGTTCTGACTGTAACATTTACTAGCTTTGTGACAGTGGGGAAGTAGCTAGG